TCTCCCGTATTGTGTCATGCTTGCAATGTGTCCACCCATTTCCTAAGTAGTGGTACTGTACGGACAATAAAGATTAGGGCCCCGACTGCACGCCCCTGCTCCCACAGTTATTGTAATTACAATCACCTCATTACTTGGCTGAGGCATGGTAATCAGGCAGAAAACAACTGCAACAAAATGATGGCAGTCTTCAATGCCCCATTATTTCCATAGCACAGAACAGGGCCAGACCATCCTGCTTTGTTAAAATAATGCTGCGGTGGTCTCCAACATCGACCGGCAGGGTAGGCCTCACACCCTGTGCCTCTACCTCCTACCATGGATTTTTGCAAAGGAGTAAAACTACATGTATTAGCTTCTGGTACTGTTCCAGTTTTCCAAAATCTGAGGCATGGGAAACAGACTCTCTTCCAGCTGCTTGCTTATGTTCCCCCCATAGACTTATATTTAAAAAAAATAGAGAGCACACTCCGTATACACAAACAATTATGTCCCGGGTTTCATTTATTAGTGAGTCCGAGTATAAACTTCGCGCACAAACGTCCATGTCGGCAGCCTGTCCATGTCGGCACGTCCGTGCTGCCGACATGGATGCGCTGCCGCCATACTTTAGGTGGAACAATGGATCGATGTGTATTGGTCATAAGCCCTGCTAATCTAAGCAACGGCTTGGAAACGTCATCGAGCTCGGTAAACTGTGCAAGTGCATACAAGTCTACGCGTGCAATGTGTACGTACGTCATAGGACGTACGTACGCACGCACACACGTGCGCACTTGCTATATTTAGAAAACAATTCAAAAGTGACGATCCATTGTTCCACCTTAGGTATGACGGCTGTGCGCCCATGTCGGCACGAGTGCGTACGGGGAGTGCGCTCTCTGGTTTTTTAAAATATAATTGAGGTATGGTGGGCATAATAGGAGGGCACTGTTTGATTTGGGTAAAGTCTTTTGTATTAACCCTAACCAAATAGCGCCCTCCTATTGTGTCGGCCATACCTCAAATAGGCTAAGGCCCCCCCCCCCCAAAGTTATGCTTCCGATGACATGGCATTCGAAAATAAGGTAGGTAGGTGGAGAATTTTTTTTGTGTACGATCATATGGAGGCATCTGCGTGTAGTCAAGGGTAAAAGGCAGAAGTTGATGGTTTTGGGTGTTTTTTCCTCCAAAAAATTGGGGTAGGGGTTGTCAAAATAGGGTAGGTAGGGAAACTGGAAGCAGAACTATTTTTTGGGGGGCCTAATGGTTCCTCCCAATCCCCCAACTCTTCTGGGTGTCCAGGAAGTTTGAGTGGGAGCATTATTAAACTTCTACAAGTCACCCCGTTTTGGCCTCACCAGCCGAGGCTCACAAGACTCTTCCGCCTTCTCCACTATGTCCCATTCCTTCCACCCTTGCAAGATCTCCTCCTTCAACCTCTCAGTTCTCATTTGACATGTGGCCATTGACCGTTGATGGTCATCCTGTGTCATTTACAATGGTCAATTATGACGCAGGTTCAACTTGTTGCAACTGTGAGTTGGGCATTTTCTTAATCCACCTTTATGGGCCTTGCTATTCATTCAGTTCAGAAGTTTCTCAGCAATCATGGCCATTTACATGTCCATTTACTACATGACCTGTCATGTCGTTGTGCATGTTCTGGTACTTTCTCGCCTAGATTATAATAACTCCCTTCTCACAGGAATCAAGAAACAAGATCTCACTCGTCTCCAAAAACTTCAAAACAAAGCCGCTGGCCTGATTCAACAAAAGCCAAAACACTCTCATGCCACACTTCTACTTGCTGAACTTCACTGGCTCCCAATCAGCCAACGGATTGTCTTCAAGACATCACTTAACATGTACAAAACCGTGTCCAACAAGTTTCCATCATACGTTTCTGATGTTGTCGACCTTAGCAAACCTAAACATCAAGGTCTCCGCACGGAAGCTAATTTGGCCATCCCTCGCACTATCAAGAACACAGGAGACCATGCCTTCTCCATTGACGGACCCCGAACTTGTAACTCTCTTCCCAACATCATCCAGAATGCATCATCTATTTAACAGTTTAAGGGACTCTTACAAACATATTTGTTTTGATTTCGTTTGATCCCAATTCTGTTGATTTGTTTACAGCACTTTGAATCCTTTGGCAAAGGTGCTTTATAAATGCATGTTATTAATATTATTATTATTATTATTATTACAGCAGCTTTTGAGATGTTCATGCTATTTGCAATCGCATTGTAACGGCCTTCCTCCTGACTGCAGCCATGGCTTGACACAGAGTTAGCTGCTTTGACCGTTACTCTAGATCACATTCCGTTTGAGCCAGGCACTGGGCATCTTACCCTCATGGCTCCTTTCTCAAGAAGAAACAGCTTGCGATGCTTTTTCCACCTGACCTTTTGATACCCAACCTCAAGTCTGTCTCATCCATTTTGGAAGAAAGACCTTGGATCCTTGCCCCTAAATAGTACTTACATTGGACGGTGACAATCTGTGCTTCACTGCAGTTCCGCCACACGAACCAGGATCTCTATCGTGGCGCCTGCTGGTTTGTGTCCGCCATATTTTGGCATCGACCACGCCCACTTAGACCGCAGTGTAGCCATCTTGTGAGCCCTTTACAAAGGTATACCGTTGTGGCATAATGCAAGCCACATGCTGAAGTCAATTAGCCTATTCACAGCCCGTTACCTGTGGGATGTGCTGCAGTGTAAAGGCAAAACGGGTCATGCATCCCTTGACTAATCACCAGCAGTATCAACCAGTAATGGCCTATCCCTTTTGATGATTTTTATTCTGTTTTTTGCAGCCTGTTGGGCATCTCCCATAACACTGCTATTTTGCATGTGTAGTAAGTTTCTTAATGATCCTCAAGTCCCGAGGCTTAAATTTTAACTAAATACAAAGAACAAGGAAAGATTGAAATTAACTCTCCAGGTGTAATAGAAAAGACAAAAATTTCAAATAAGCCACAAAGGGAAACTGACTAGGTGCATTAATAGGTGCGTCAGTTTATTAAAAAATTTGTTTAAAGGTGCCGCACTAGGTCCTGAAATCCCTGAAAATGTTATGTTTTGGATTGTTTACTTAGCCTTTTTCAAACATCTGGTTGAAAGGAAACCAACCTAATGTCTTACCGTTCCCGAGAAAAGACGAAAAAAAACCCCGCTTGTTTACATCGGACATAACGGAGTATGAATACGTTTTTCGTGTCGTTCTCAGTGTACGATATACACGTTGTGTGTCTCGCTAACAGCGGTGACCAATCACCAATGCAAAAAAAATGGTTTCTTCAACGTTCGCAAAAGGCAAACACTTTACGAATGAAATCACAACTAGCATCCAAACAGCTCAAATTTATGGGGTCGCAAAAGTGGACCCCGAAATTTGTTCTCGCACGCATAATACAGGAATAACACAAAAAATCCCAGTTTTGAAAGGATAGTTGTGTGGATGTTTATATCCTACTTTTAAATGTTATTTCCGATTAACATCATCTCATTCAAAGCGCGTTTTGTAGCCCAATTGGGCTGTTCCAGGACCTAGTGTCCCTTTAAACAATAGCCATATCCTCCGTTTGCTAATTTCCGGGTTTGCAGCAATGCTAATGTTGCTATATAGCATTACAACTTCGGGCGTGGTACATACGGGTTTATGGCTTCCAACTAGTGCCCTTGAACAGGGATATTGACAAATTGGGGAACTGCCAACATAGGGCTGGATAACTCAGTTGGTAGAGCACCAGAGCGGTAATCCAAAGGTCGCAGGTTCAAGCCCCACTCCTGTCAATTTCTTTGTTCAACTTTTAAAAAAAAATGATAATAATGATATGTATATCACTTGTTATTAGAGTCATGCCAATTTATACTCATTTCCACATTTATAATTATTTTAGACCTTATGGGATGTTTCAAAACACTGCCAAAGAAGTAAATTAACTTATCAAGAACCAGATTTTGGAATCCACTTTTTATTTGCTTACATTTGTAATTTAACACATTAGACTTGTACTACATTGTGTTTCTTCACTGAAAATCAATAAAGCCATAGAGAGCTGGGTCATTTTCAGGCACAACAGTGAGTAATAGGCAGAGCGGTTTCGGGCGCTACAAAACTGACTAAAGGGTTAAAACAAAAGGAATTTGTGATAAGAATGCATGATTTGGCAAAGGTACAAGTTGGCAAAGGTATGTGTAATTGAACTAACCGAAATATGCACTATTGGATGTACAATTAATCACAAACTAAACTAATGAAATTGTTCCATCTTTGAAATACCCTATGTTTAGCTGTGTATTCAAAAGCTGTTTTTGTTTTCAACAGACTTTCTAATTATTTCTGTCTGTGGTAGAAAATAGTTCCCGCTAACACCCAACAAGTTCAAATTCTCTAATTTCAACATTTATACCGGACAAATTATTCATTTTAATGATAATTTTTACCCTGTTCCAAAGAATTTGGAGATGTGTCCAAAATGTGCATAATGTGGATGAACCATTCATATCTTCAGGGTTGTTTCCAACTCAATAAAATTAATTTATTTTGCATCAGTTAAATGAATTCATGACAATACTGATATACTGACATTGAAATGTGTATGCATTTATTGAAAAACATATTTACTGTGCACTGTGTGTTGTTTTCATATGACCGAAACAACATCTCTAAGCAAATCTAAATTTAGTGAATTAAGATCAGTAGAGCTTTAGTATCTTTCCAAATGAAACTTTTTGAGCAGGGAAAAACACTAAATCGACCTGAATCTTGGAGTCCTTACTTCCAAGTCCCAAGTCTGAGTCCTAGTCTGCAACATCCAAACTCTGAATCCTACAACTCTGAAAATAAGGTTCATCCCCACTTGCTTGATGGACTAGTTTAACCTTTTTTGTTATTCTCGTGCAGTAAACCAAAAGAAAAATAAGCTGTGTTTCCCTATTTCCCCACATTTTTTTGCAACTTTTCAATGCATTGTCTCACTAATGAGCTTTTGTGTCTTGTTATAGTACGAAAAGGTCGTGTTGACAACAGCAAGTGAAACGACTACTGCATTCATCTCATTCACCATGAGGAAGAAGCACTGAGTGATGGTCAAGACAACTTGTCATGGTTTGTTGTAATTCACTGTAGAGCTAGATTAAACCGAAAGAAAATGTGCTTGTAACTTGCATTTGGTATTAAAGTATTCCTCAATTTGAAAGGACTGTTTCTCATATTACATTCGTCAGTGCTCTATCTTTAAGACCTGTTCTGAACACTGTGCTACTGCCTTTCTGAACTCAATTAATTCAACTTTTTAAAATTTGGTACGGCAACAGCACAGCATTTAGAACCTTGTGGCTGGGCAGATTGAGTTTGGCACAGTAAAAAAAAGAAGAGTTGATTGGAAGTATGGGTTGTTTAATAGATTGTTTTCATTAACTGGATGCAGTGACTATGAATTTACTAATTCTGTGTAGGTATTTTGGGTGTATTTCATGTGTACTGCATGTAAATGTACATGTACACAGAACTTTGGGTGATACTGCTTTTTTGTCTTAAAACATTCTGTTTATGTCTGTCAAATGGCATGTAGTTATCCTGTAAAAGCAGGGATTGCATTTTTTTCATAGTAAATTCCATAGAAATGAGATCATTTCAACAAAGCTCCATTGTCCACCACATAGAGCATTGACAATCCACATCAATTTGAAAATTCATTTGTCTGACTGTTTTGTGTTACTCGTTTGCGCGACTTTCACTGAGAAAAATTAAAGGTTTTCTTTTTGCAATAAGCAGCTCATCAACTGTTTGCTTTAAAGAGTATCACCAAACCATGTGATATCAATAAAAGTGATCATTTAGTAAGGGAATAAATATGTGTTTGGCCGGTTGTAAACAAGTACGTTTCAGCCTGGACACAAATATCATTATCGGCGACCCTAGCTGGTTTTAAACGTACTTTTTTAATATCGGCCAAGCTTATATTTATTCTCATTCATCAATAGCTTTCGGTCAAAAAGTCAAAACAAGACAAAAATGATAAATTTCCAACAATTTGCTTCATGTTTTGTGAAACACTCCTCTAGTTATGTTTAAGGCATGTGCCTCACACGAGTATTTATAAATAAATCTGATATGGAGATTGGAGTGCATGTAGCCGATACTGTGGTGTGTGGTGCAGAATGGTGGGCGGGCCGTCATTATGGGGAGGTTTTTTATTGTTGGGGAAATTAGGACCGAGTATGTGGGTTGTCTGCTGTCCTCATAGTGTCTTCGGTCCCCAGAATACCATGGGACAACACGTGTATAGTCCCCCAGTTACGAAACAAGAATGTATGTATATGTAGTGTGAATTTAGGACTCTATGAAATACAGACTTATTGGTGGTATTGTGCATGCCTAAGTGAAGATAATTAGGAAAGTAACTGGTCACATGCGAGGGTACAACCAATGTCATTGGAGTCCAAATTTCATGTGACACCAGAAAAAGTGTTTAAAACCAGTCATTGTTTTATCAACTGTTTAAAACAACCCACATGAAGACCTCTTGACCAATAAGAATGGGTAAACTGCCTTAGGTATTTATGAATATTTGATAATTCACGTATTGAATATAAATTTTCAAAAGAAATTTAAGGCACAATCTAAAATGGTACAAATAACGGGGGTGTGAAATCTCAGCTTTTTAGCTGATTTCAGCTTTTTTTGTTTTGGATTTCAGCTTTTTCCCCTCACTTGCTGTGTACAAAAGTAAAGGAGATTTCCAAAATTCAGCTTTTTTACACCTTGTTCAGCTGTTTTCAGTTATTTTTATCAGTGGTCACTCACACCCCTGAAATAAGTATTAGAATAAGAAACATGTTATATGTGTATATATACATCTTTTTCTTTTTTTAAATAATTTTGTTATAAGCCATCATTTGACATAGGAATTTTCAGAATTCAAAACACATGTGTATGTCTTGTAATTGAGAATGTTTCACATTAACGTATTTACAACCTAAAACTTGTATTCATATTTTCTGTGTTTTTGACTTTTCCACTATGATAAGCTCACTCTAATTTTGTTTTGAATCGGTTTCTAAAATTGTAATGTTATACTAAATAATAATTATCAAATGAGATAATTTTTTTTTAACCTAATGGTATAGAAATGGTTCCTGAGGTGAGTGGCGGAGGGAGTAGTTGGCCACGAACCATGCTAAACAGTTATATTGTTGGACCTATCAAATTTGGGGGAAACAACTTTCAAATTTACCTGCATCATATACCAACTCAATTTGAAAATGAATAGTTACCAGTCAGTAATTAAAGATTCATTTGCTCACAATATTTAAATATTTTATCATTTTGCAATTAATGACACAACATCAGACATGGCATTGGGCAACAATTATAGTTTTTGCCTTAGTTGAGAGAATTCTCATAACAACATAAAAAAAGAGGGACTATTTCAAGTCGGTTGCGGTCTACCTCAATAAATGCTGATGGATTTTCTCTGTAGGCCTATTGTGAGCCACACAGCAATGCATGCTAAATTTCTTGAAAAGTTGTTCCTCAAAGTTGAAATCTAGATTGTTTCTCCACTGGTTAAAAAGCAGTTGGTTGGGACAAACTTTCTCGATTTTTCACCCGAAAATTACTGACTTTTCTTTGTTCAGTTACAAAACCTCTTAAACACTGATCATAATATCACCATACAGTCACAAAATTAAGTTGCGCCTGTGTGGGTGTGGCATTCTCCCTGTGCTATAACGAAATATTTTTTTTTAAAGGGACGTTACATCCTGGAATTCGCCCAATTGGGCTGAAAATGCATTTTAGAAGACATTATGTTAATTGGAAATATCATTTAAAAGTAGAGTATTCGTGGGTCAAAATTTAGACTCTCAAAAATCGAGCTGTTGGGTGCTAGTTGTAAATCCAGCCACACAATGTATTGCATTCTAGGGACGCGCGAGAAACAACATTTGTGCCTTGGTGCTGCGTGCATTATGTGACACACACACAAAACGTGTACCGTAAATTGACTGGACACGGCTGGAAAATACAGGGCGAGTCAAAAAATGCGGAACCCAAACCAAAAAAATATATGTCGTATTTAAAAAAAATATTACGCATCAGAAATAATAATGACTGGAAAGCCAATTTCATAAACTACTTTTAGATGGAAAAATTACTGAAATTGCTCAATCCGTTCAAAGTATATCATCAGTTAAATGCAATGACCCTAAAACCTCTTTCATCCGATTTCAAGAATTGTCGTCACAACTGTCTTAAAACATACACCAGCGATAAAACCTCAGTCCAAAAGTAAAACATATTCAACAAAGTCCTTCCGAAGGCCCGTCTTTTAAAAAAGTTTATTTAATAAATCATACTGTTTGCTCAGGCAGGGTTGTTAATAGAGATATGTACTACAGTTGTTGACAGTTGTTGAAACAAGTATTCTGTGTCATTTTCTTTGTTGTTCCAAACAGTCAGAACACACAATAAATTGCTTTTTTTTTGGACTAAACAGGTTTTAGGGTCATTGCGTCTAAATGGTGATATTCTTTGAACGGATTGAGCGGATTGAGCAATTTCAGTATTTGTGCATCTAAAGTAGTTTATGAAATTGGCTTTCCAGTCATTATTATTTTTGGTGTTACATATTTTTTAAAATATGAAATATATTTTCCACTTTTTTGTACTCTCCCTCTGTGAGTTTGTCTTACATTCCCTACGTGGACTTGTGAACAAAAGATGTCCACATAATGCAGGTTTTGTTAACGTTATGTGGACTAAGCCGTGTCCACATAACGTTTTGCCCTTTCTGGAAAACAGGTTTAGAGGCATTTTTGGGTTAGGTTTATCCGTAGCAGAATGAAGAGAAACACTATAGGGAATCATAGAAAAAAAATTGGGTTAAAAGAGTTTTCACAGTTTAAGTAAAGTTATTTTTTGTACCGAGTTTTCTTAACTACACGAAAACAAAGGAATGTCCACACAAGGTATGTAACGTAAACCTGGGTGTGTGTGGGTGACTACAAATTCGTATCCTTGTGGAGACACACACAATAGGGAACAAAACATTGTAAAGGTCTCCACAGGGCAATTTCTATAGATGAATAGGTCTCCACAAGGTTTTCCACGAAATAGATATATGGGTTTTACTCAAAAACTAGGAATTTCCAAGGTGGGTTGATTCGTCGCAAATGGAAGAGTTTTAGAAAAGGGATATTAAGTCCAAATTTCAGCCAAGGAAACTAATTCTGGTTAAAATAAGAGCATTTTGAAACTTCACTTTCAAAATTGAACACTTTACTACACGAGAACAAAGAAATGTCTCCACAAGGATACAAATTTGAGAATGGGTGTGTGTGTGTGTGTGTGTGTGTGCCACAAAATGTCCTCCGCGACCGATATAAACAAGCGGTTTTAGGATAGTTTCCTTTCAACCAGACCTTTGAAATAGGATAAGTAAACAACCAAAAACATAAAATTTGTGGATTTCAGGACGTAGTGCCCCATTTAATTGCTTTTTATTTCTGACAATACATCATTTACTGGTCTATACTTTTGAATGAGACATCGAGCACAAAAGTCCACCGGTGTTTAGTCATGTAATAATTACTTTACAAAGTATTTGCAGCCCGACAATAGTTCAGTCTTTGTTGTGGGTTATGGGCTTTTGCAAGCCAAACGAATAGCATATGTGAGAGGGTTGAAAACATCCTAAATAGAAAACTGTATTTTTTTTTCCATTTAAGTAAATCATACAAATTAAAAAGTCTTCCTGGGGGAAAAAATTAATATGTTGAGGATCACGTAGTCAGTGACAGTCCTGTTGCCGCTACTTCGTGAGCTATTTCAAGGAAAATATGAGTCCAGATGTACCAATTGTCCTCTTGTTCCCTCCCATCTTTGGATTTAGCCTGATCGTGTTTCGACACACGTCAACATCACACGTCAACAGTACTTGAACAAAAGGGGATCAGACTACTTTGTATTTGTATTACCACATTCAAAACAGTTTTTTTTCTTTGTATTTTTCTTGTTCCAGTATTAAAACTAGCAACGGAATACATTATTACATTGTATTTTTCTTATTCCCATAAACAAGCAACTAACCCAGACCTCTGCAACAACCTTCAATTGTTGTAGTTTTAATTTTTGTGTGATTTTATGTGATTCTGAAGTATCAGTTTGAGTTGAGCATGATAAAATGAATAATAGACAGATTTTTTTCCCCTTCTTTTTTTTTTGGGGGGGGGGGCACAGTCTAATTATTGCCCGAAAAATTTGAAATGCTCTGTTCCTTTCTCTAGGGTAAAACCGAACAGAAATTAACCCTGTTTTGTACTAGTTGTGAACAACTTGTATGTCAAATTGATGTTCTTAAAGATATTGTATAGGTGACTGGAGGTGTGTGCATTTGGATTAAACCTTTTACTTGTGTTCTTTTATATACATTTTCCTCGGTAAAATAAGATTGAAGTAATGTGGTCAGAAAGAACATACATTTGTAATTTGAAAACGTAAAATTTCAAAGTGCGATGAAATATTAATTTTCTGTGTAATCATAAACACATCAAAACAACAGTACGTTCAACATTTTGTTGACGGCTGTCCCATTTTCAAGTCTCGTTACCTATATTTCAACACTGAAACATCTTATTCCACACTGTTTAAAAAAGAAAATGTACTGTGCATTTAACTAAAAGCAAAAGTTGTTTGTATAAACAAGCCACACTGCTCAAAAAGATATAACCTTATTTATTAAAATATTCTTGCTCTTGCTCATTTGCAATGTAATCATGTCCTCAGTATATGAGGTTAGTGTTTTCTTGTTTGGCCCAGTCTTTTATGAAAAAGGAAATTCAAGCTTATCTTTTGAACACCAGCCACATAAACGTGGCAGCCTTAAGTTTGGTGTTGTAAATACTATAATTTGAATGGCCCACATATTTTTGTTTTATGCATGTTAGTTTCTTGTTAAGTACTATTGATACTGAAGATAGTGACAGTAAAATTAGCATTGCATTGTTGATCAGTAAAATTTCAATGTGTATAGAATAGGACAGCTTATGGTTGGATTAGGACATAGTTTTATTAAAGTCAAAAAATAGACAGCGTGCCTCTGTGTCCCTTATTATTGAATGTGTTAATGCAGCAGGGCATTGTATCCAGAAACACGATGGGAGGATTTCTTGTTGCTTCCATATTAGTTTTTCTCTCCGACAGGCACTTATAGATTTACCACCCTTCCACACCTTTCAATTATACACAAAGACATATCAGATATTGTGGAAACTCTGGGATGGGCCTTATTAAACAACTTACTGTTAATTTCTTCATCTACAATAAACAGGCAGTGGAGGACGGCTTGGGTCACACTTCGGATGGTAAAAACTTTATCCCCTAAGCTGTACCTAAGCTGCCAACACCCAATAGGATTGTTTAATAAAGTTTTTCCCAACACTCCCCGCAAGGCCAGGCGAAATTAATTGGCCAAGCTTCCTCTCCATCCTCTCTCCCATTTTCACTAGCACCCATAACTCACAAAAGTTGGTGACACTGATAAGCTAATAAGTGCTGACCGACAGCTGATGCAATGAAATGTAGACAAAGTTGGTAAAATATAAATCCTGTATACAAATATTCTCAGCAACAACAACCATACTCCGATAATGCCACCTGTTGTCCCAAGCTAACGTCTAAACACAGCTGAAGTAGGTCAGAGTCTTTTACAGTCGAAACAACATGAAGCAGTCCCTGAAGCAGTGTTATATACTCGGTATTCAGTGTTCATGACAGGGATGTGATTTCTCCGGTTTTTTCCGGAAATCCGTTTTTTTGGGCCTCAAAAGTCCACCAATGTGAATCGTGTGAATCCGTTGAGAAAATAGGGGGGTAGAATGTGCTAATTAATTATTCATAATGAGTTTTGCTTGCCGAAATTTACTTACGGACATAAACTTCGTTGATCGATATGTATGCCGCACGCACATATTGAAACTGCGCAATAGTCGTAGCCTTGTTGCCATTTTGTGATTGGACGATGAACGACGTTCATTTGATGGTGTCTTCATATCTCCAGTGCAAGTAGCTGCAAGCGCGGTTGCATGTAGCGCTGCCTACGCACCCGGGATCCGCACTCAGTATACAATACTTTCAGAATCATTTTAGTGACGGTCTGTTTTAATGAACATCAATTTCTAAAGGAAATAGATTTCAAATTTTCCAAATGATCTATAATTACATCTTGAGATCGTTTAAACACCCAATGTGAGAACGAAGTTGAAGACCATGCGGTTGCCATTAGTGCGATTATGTTATTTTTCGCTCGGGGCCGAGGTTGTGGTTATGTAGGTCTAGTTCCTGTGTCGGTACTTGAGATGCACGTGTTGCGCTGGTCAGGTGTGCAGACGAGTGCAGCATGGTACACTGGTACCCTTCGCGTGCTAACAGAATCAATGCTATGATGAAGGATCGGAACCAGTGACTACTGCAAGTACTCACGTAGGTTCGTTTTCCGT